TTGATGAACCTCAAAATTATGCTGAACAAGAGGAGTTAATCACAGAGACTGAATAGGTTTCTCAAGAGTTAATATCATTTGTTGTTCTTTCAGGGGACCGGGCTTGAGTTCCAAGTGCCTACCTGAAGGCTCATAACTGTTTGTAACTCAAGTTCCATGGAATCCAATATCTTTGTCTGACCTCCTCAGGTACCAAGTCTGTGCATACATAGAGACATGCAGGCAAAGAACTCACACACATTAAATAAAATTAAAAAAAGAAGAAAGTAACAGAAAAGTATTTTTCACTTGTATAAAATAAAAATGACAAAGTTTTAAGTTTTACTATATGAATTTATTGTATGTATGTGTCCTGGTTTGCTCTCTATTGCTCTGATCAATACCGTGAGCAAAAAAATCAGTTTGAGAGGGAAGGAATTTATTTCATTTAAATTTTACAGTCTAAATGTTTTCCATTCCACATATGCTGACATTCCTAATTTTCTATTAGGATCAAGCCACAGGTTATACTTTGGACAGTTTAAGTAGGGCAAATCTAGTCACTCATGCAGATGGAGATTAACACAGCAAATCTTTTAGATAATTTATTATGATTGAAAAGCTTTGTTTAAAATATGAATCAGTGTCACAGTTTTCACACATACATGGGACAGAGAATACAAATGTAACAAAATGAGAAATCAAGGAAAAGTTACCCATAATCACTGTGCCAGATTTTCTTAAGTGAGGAGCTCTTCTGAACTATTCTAATCCCAGAAGAAGGGTTCTTTCGCCTCAGAATAGGACGGCTTAGAGGAAGACCACGGCAGCTTCCTTGCGGGATCAAAAGTTCATTTTAACTAGCCTTGACTGCCGTCTGTGTCAGGGCTGTGGCATCACTGAAGAGAATTCCATTTTTTTAAATTTTATTTTTACATATACGGCTGTTTGCCTGCATGCATCCATGTGTGGTACTTGCAGAGGCTGGAAGAGGCATCAGTTCCTTTGGGGCTAGAATTCTAGGAGACAGGCACCTAACAGGTTCTTTCTGGAAATGGAACCTTTTTCCTCTGTAACAATATCCAGTGCTATTAACTGCTAAGCTTCCTCTCTGCCTTTTTATTTTAAACTTATTTTCAAACATTTTGATTAAAATACATTACATCACTTCCCCCCTTCCTTGTCTTTTCTCTGTCCCTTCCTAAATTCTTCTCTTTCAATGTCTTCATCATTTAATACGTGTGACTAAATATTTCCAAATATAATAATAAATCCTGCTGCATCCAAAAGAATTTTTTACAGTCTATCATCAAGTGAAAGGAAGGCGGGAGCTCAGGGCAGGAACCTGGAAGCAGGAACTGAAGCAGAAGCCATGAGGAATGCTGCTTACTGGCTTGATTTCCTGACTTGCTCAGATAATTTCCTTATATATCCCAGGCCCACCCGCCCAGAGAGGGTACTGCCCACAGTGGGCTGAACCATCCTGCATCAATTAAAAATAAAAAAAAAATGCCCTCACAGCCATGCCCAAACACCAGTCTGAAGGAGGCAATTCCTCAGAGAAGTTCCTTTCCCAGATAACCCTAGTTTGAGTCAAGGTGATAAAGAATAACCAGCACACTGTGTTGTACGCGTGCATTGTTGTGTGTCCATCTATGTGTCTGTGTCTTTGTGTTCATGTCTGTGTCCATGTGTCTGTGTTCATGTGTATGTGTCTCTGTGTGTGAACACATGTGTGCATGCATGCGTGTGTGTGTTCACGTGTGTGTTCATCCATGTGTGTGTGTTTGTGTCTATGTGTCTCTGTGTGTGTCAACGTGTGGGTGTGCATCTGTGTGCATGTGTGTGCCTTTGCATGTCTCTCTCTGTGTGCACGGCATGGTGCACCTGTAGACATGATCAGGGTACAGCCCAATGGGAACTGGTTCCCTCCGTCCACTACGTGGGTCCCAGGGCTCACACTCAGGTCACCAACCCTGGTGGAAAGGCCTAAGTGTCCGAGCTGCCAGTGTCTAGTGGGTGCGAGCCTTCAGCTTCAGTCAGCTGTCGTCACCTGTATCTGTGCTGTCCCTAGTGGATTTCGGTGCAAAAATAAAAATCAGTAAATGCTGCAATTTGTGACAATCTGCAAACATGAATAGTGAGTTGGTTTCAGGTAAAATCAGAATGCAAATTTCCCTACCTCACTCAGGACAATGGAGTTGCCGGCTTATTGATTTTGTACAAATAGCTCAGAAAGATGACTTCCCAAAGGAGACAGAACAACGAAACACCGAAAAGTGGATTTCAATAAACTGTTGACCCATTTGTCCTCAGCTCTGTGGATTAGCTATTAAGATTTTTTCATAATGACTAAAACTACTGAGGTTTTTTTAAACTGTATTTATTTATTTTTGTTTTATTTTATTTTTGAGACAGAGTTGTACAATGTAGCTCTGGTTATTCTGGAACTCACTGTGAAGACCAGGCTGGTCTCAAACTCATAGATATCCTCCTGCCTCTGCTTCCCAAGTGCTGGGATTAAAGGCGTGCGCCACCACACCCAGCTAATTAAAAACATTTTATTTTATGTGTATGGGAGTTTTGCCTATGTGTAAGTCTGTGCACCCCAGTAGTGCCCACTGTTCTCAGAGGTCAGAAGAGGGCCTCAGATCCCCTGGAACCAGAGTTACCAATGGCTGTGAGCCACCGTGTGGTGCTGGGAATCCAGTCTGGGTCTTCTGGAAGAACAACAAGAGGTCTTACCCACTGAGCCATCTCTTTAGACCTGAAATTTTTAGATATATATTCATGTAATGACCTCTTATAAATCAATCAAATTTTTAATCCTGGAAAATTTTGAACTGAAAGTTTCCTCTTTTTTAAAATGAAAAGCTGCTGTCTGTAAGAGGAGGTCTCATTTAAAACTTTGAATTCTTTTTTAATTTTTAAAATTTGGACTGGTGAGTTGGCTCAGCAGGCAAAAGTGCTCCCAAACCTGGTGACCTGAGTTGGCTTTCTGAGACCTGCATGGTGGAAAGAAAGAACAGACTCCCAAAAGTTGTCCTCTGACCTCTGCACAGAAGTCAGGGCACCCTTGTATGTGTTTGAGAGGTGTGCGTGCATGTGTAGACATGTATGTGCTCACACACACACACACACAAACCATTGTTATTATACATGTGTGTGTTCATGCCATGGCACACTTGAGTGTGTTTGACACATGCGCGTGCATGTGTGTATGTGTGTACGCTCAGACACACAAATGTAAAACATTGTATTATTGCATATGTGTGTGTGTTCATACCATGGCACGTGTGTAGAAGTCAGAGGAAATCTGTGTGGAATCAGCCAGTTCTCTCTGTCCGCCTCTATGTGGATTCTGGGGACCATCAGGTTTCTGTAACACATTCTTTTACCTGCTGAGCAATCTTGCTGTTCTCATTTGATTTTCAATGGGGTCTCAGCAGCCACCTGGGTCATGTTAGTGTCCGAGGGCCATGCTGCTGCCAGAACCAAACAGATCTGAGCATCCTGCGCTGTCAACAGGAGCCATGGTGTCCTCTGGGCCCGGGCTGCTGACAAGGGTCATGTCTGGGTGTGTGCTGATGTCTGTGGCTCCTATTACCACTAAAGACAGGGAGGATAGGGCTGCACAGGGTTGGCCCCTCTCATCATGGTTTTAGCACAAGGGAGAACTGGCTGTGTCCTTCACCAACTGCAGCATTCTGGAGAGCAGTCCCTGTACCTCACCTGGGCAAAACAGTAGAGCAGACCCTGGTGGTGTGGGTACAAATGAGCCAGCCCCAAAAGGGCACAAGAGCAGGAGAACTGGCCTCACTTCTTGCTGGGTGAGCTAGCTGGGGCAGTGCTGGAGAACTCCCCCTGGTGGTGATGATGAGCGAAAGCTGGCCGGTTGACTAAGTCAGCTACCACTCAGGCTCAGAACCAGGGTTACCAGTTAGCCCACCCCAACATCCATATCATCTATGAACTGTTGGAACGTGTGAAGGGGCTGGACCTGCAGATCTGAAGCTGCAGGATCTCCACAACACAAGGCAACAACAGTTTATCCAAGAGGAGTCCCAGTGAGGACCATCGTGGCTCACAAAGTACCTATAGACTGGAGCATCTAAACCTTTCTTCTTTCAACACGTGACTTCAGTATTAAGCAGAGGTCACAGTGCTGGGATTAAAGGCTCGCACCACCACCACTCAGCTTGAAGATGGTTTTTTTTTTTTTTTTTTTTTTTTTTTTTTTTTTTTTTTTTTTTTTTGTTNTTTTTTTTTTTTTTTTTTTTTTTGGTTTTTCGAGACAGGGTTTCTCTGTGGCTTTGGAGCCTGTCCTGGAACTAGCTCAGGCTGGTCTTGAACTCACAGAGATCCACCTGCCTCTGCCTCCCGAGTGCTGGGATTAAAGGCGTGCGCCACCACCGCCCGGCTTGAAGGTGTGTTTTTAACCTCTGGGTTCTTTTTCCTTTTCCCTCTCCTGATGGTAACACATTTATGTGTTCCAACTCACCCATACTGCTTAGTGGCTTTGGGATTGTGTTATGGTGGACAGATGCATGCCCATACTCCCATGCTAGATACATTTGCTCATCTTTTCTTTTGCATGGCCTAACATTGTATGCTTTCTTCTTTACCCACTTGGACTTTGTTCCTGTGTATGTTCCGAAGAATGGTTCTAATTGTGCAAGTTTGAAATGACTATTCACATTTTCGTACACCATTTATAAAATGCCTGGATTGCCCCATTGTGTTCATCTTTATTTACACGGTACTTCAGGAGGGAATGCGACCACAAACGCCCTGCATAAATACTACTACTCAGTGTTAAGACAAAGAAGGCAACTTGTGCATGCGGGGATTAAAAAATGGCTCCTTACACTATTAAACAAGAGATGCAGAATTTTATGTAAGAGTTATTTATATACGCTCCAGAAAGTAGCTGGAAGCATGGCTTTCAAGTGGTTGATGATTTACAGCAGTTACTTTTTTTTTTTTTACCAAAGAATGCACAAATTTAATGTTTATTCCACGTTTCTGTCAAATTCCTGGATCCTTCACCAATGTTACATGAGGAAAAAAAACAAAAGCAAAACAAATGAAAAACTGAAATCAGAATCAGTAATGTTATCAAGGAGGGAAGCAAATAAATTAAACTCTAGCAGCCATCAGCAAGAGGCCAGCAAGGAGAACGCTGTGGAAGGACATGAGGTTGCTAGAAAACTGCACGCAGACTCTCACCAGCAAAACACGCTCCTGCACGGAGTGGAGCAGAAACAGATCTTTTCCTGCTAAGGTAACAGAAATGCAAGTTCTTTTTCGAATACTGTGGAAAGGCAAATGTGTGTATCATGGTAATTCTACCCAGCTGTTACAGTGTGGGCCAGGAACACACCTGCGGATTCTGGGGTGGCGTATACTGTAATTCTTTGATTGGGGTAGTGGACACACTAGCAAAAATTGGAGGGGAGGAAGGGAAGAAATGAACACAGAGGTACAAGACAAAGGCGAATGAGACTTCTCTTATATCTTAGCAACATTTAGATGGAATCAAACTTCAGTGCAGTCCACTCTGCTTAGATGAGGCTTTGGTTCAGCTCCCAATCTCGATTGCGTGACGCAGTCTCCTGTGAGAACACTCAGGTGTCTTCTTAAACAACAAACCTATTTTTAGTGGTGGAGCCGCTCTTTGTAGCCGTGTCTGCATGGGACTGATAACCAATTACTATCTTTGGAGGAAGTCCTAACCTTTCCTTGTATACCCTCCCTATGTGTGTGACTGCGTCTCTGTTTTCACACTCAGTAGTCCATATTGCTATCTTATCACCTTTAGCTCTAACATTGACAACAGCTCCACATACATCATCGCTGTAGTCATCAAAAGATTCTCCAGTAAGGCACAGCAGTGTCTCTAGCCAAAAGCGATCGAGGTCACTTCGTCTCTGCTGCTTGTTCAATGTAATTAGCCATCGACCACCCCGTTTGTTCTTCTCATCTTCCCACATAGGCTCAATACCATCCTTAAAAAGTGAGTAGTCACAGCCAGGCATTAAATTACTAGACAACTGGATATGGTTGTATAGAGCCCAAAAGTCTTCAACAGTATCAAACTTAGAGATCAATCGAAGGTTTGCTTGCCAAGTTTTGCTTTTATCATTTTTAAAAAACCAGAGTGCCCACCTGTTCTGGAGAGGGTGTTTGATATAGTGCTCTGGGTTGGCAACCTCCTGACTGGATTCTGTTTTCTCCTCTTCCGCAGGTGGGGGATTAGTAGTAGGGGTGGTTTCCGGTTCCACAGTCGCCATCTTAGATCGATCTCAGCAGTTACCTTTTGTAAGTAAACTGATGGAGTGGGGTATTGATTTTTTCCTTCGTACAGTTCAGCATTTAAAATAATTTTTAAAAAAATCACATTTCAGGAAGGAGTAGGGCTAAAGTGATCAAAATACTTTGTATTAACGTATGAAAGAATTAATAAAATATGTTCTTCGATAGGCACGAACAAAATTTATTTAATGTGTGTGTGGACACACACATGGACATGAGCATGTATACATATATGAGCGTGTATACAGATAAGTGCCATTGTGTACATGTGGAGGTCACAGAACAACTTGGGGGAGTCAGTTCTCTTCTTCTACTGTGTGGTCCCAGGAACTGAACTCACGTTGTCATGGAAGCAAACACCTTTACTTGCCGAACGGCCTCGCCAGCCCTTGCAACATTTATTATATGCACCTTTTATTATGAATTTAAAACTTCAAATAGAAAAGCATATGTTATTAGTACATTCTAATCCTCCTGGAGTCTGATAATTCTTACATGTACTCAAACATTTTCTAACTGGTCCATTGTTGTGGGACATTTGTACACTGTGTGAAGATGTATTGATGTGATTGGTGTAATAAAAAGCTGAATGGCCAATAGCTAGGCAGGAAAGGATAGGCAGGATTTCCAGGGAGAATAAGGAAGAGGAGGAGGAATCCAGGCATGCAGGAGATGCCAGGAGACACTGAAGAGCTTGGACATAACAGTACAGAGTAGAGGTAGTCAAGCCATGTGGTAGAAAGTAGATTAATAAAAGCAGGTTAATTTAAGTTACAAAAGATCATAGGAGAAGCCTAAGTTAATGGCCAGTGCAAAGCCGCTGCCCAGGTGTCACGCCAGGGGAGCATCGTCTGCTGGGCAGGAGGGAGATGCTTGAGGACACATCCAGTGACCACAAAGCCTTCTGCGCATGTTTGAATTTCTAGCGTCACAGAACAGAGCCAGCAGTTCCCTTCCTGACGTGCTCTAGAAACACCCACAGAGATAGGCCGGCGGGTCTCTGGCACGTGGACCTGTTCTCTCGTTAGCCATCTGTTCTCTGCGATGCTGATAAGTCCATCTGGATGACTTTGTGTGGTGAGTGCCCCTCTTAAACAGTATGAACATGTGCGAGCCTATTTGACCCCTGGGAGGGCGGTAGAGAGGCCCCATGGAAATCCTCTATGCCTTGGACTTTGGAGGAATGGTGTGAGGTCAGCCCCGTGGAGCATATAACTCACAGCTTCAGCCCCAGATCAGAGTTAATCCGTACATACGCTCTGGAGACTATGTTTTCCCGTGTACTTTTTCCTCATCTTAAAATCGCCTTCCAGAAAGTGCTTTAACAGCTTTACAGTGTCTCATCACAAGTGCATCATGATTTACTTCAAAACTCCCCTCTTGTTGAACATTAAAGTGATTTCTAGTGTTTTGCTGCTTACTACCAAGGGGGTAAGGGCTTTGATGGTCCTGAACCTTTCTGTCTTTGAATTAAAAAAAAAATTATGGCAAATAATCACAGGATAATTACTGTAAGCATTATTGTCTGGCTTTTGGGTTAATTTTCAAGGCTTCTTAGCAGCTCATGAAGCAGTTGAGGCCCCAGCTGCCCTGCAGACAGGCAAAACCTGCAGAGACTGAGCGGACAGAACACCCTGGCTGTGAGAAGAAAGGCAGGCCCAGGAGTATGAGATCGCCATGGAAACATGCTTCCTGGCTAGATACACATCTTGGTTTCTCACCCCTGTCTGAGAGTGTGATGTTTAGTGTGTACAAAAGGAGGTCCTGAGGCTGTTTCTGCAGCGATCCCATACCTGCCAGGAGCCTTCATCCTCTCGTGCTTCTGAAGAGAAGCTGGCTCTGAGCTGCCTCACATATGAACGGAAAAGGCGTAAAAGATCAATGGCTGTGTTGCAAATACCTGGAGAATGCCGGTCCCTGGCAAGACAATAAGCATTGAGTTCCACACAACAGTATCACCAAATCACATTTATAAGTAAGCTTTGGGTTAGAGCGGCTAGGAAACCAGGAGAGCAGCCCTAGGAAGACACCAGTCAGTAAGAGTCACAGTCCTTTTGCTGTGGATTCTCACTGCAGAACAAATTCAGTTTGTGTCGGAAGTCTGTCACTCAGCCAACAGTTCCTGACTTGGAAGCATGAGGTTGGGAGAAGCCCACAGGGACTCTCAGTGTCTTCCTCCTCTTTCATAGAGCAGAGAACTGGTAAATCTCAGTGTATTTTCTATCTCCCCAGACCCAGAAGGAACATGTATCCGTTCTAATAAAATTGGAAGGTGCAGAAGAGTTAAGTAAAATTTTCTTCCACTTAAGTAAATAGTAGAGGACAGTGAGCTGGCTCAGCAGGCAAAGGTGCTTGCCTCCAAACCTGATGACCTGAGTTTGACCCCTGGGACACACACAGCGGAAGGAGACAACCAACTCCAAGTTGGTCCATGACCTCCACATGCATGCTGCGGTATGCATGTTCTTCACATATATGTTCACACAGAAATGAATGCCAAAAATTTTAAACAAATGTTACTTCTTAGATTAGCTTTCGGGTTAGTGTACAAAGTAACAGGTGTTTCTTTGAAAACAATTTTAACTTCACAGCAAAACTGAACAGAAAGCTCAGAGGAGTCCCATATACATCTGTACTCCTTGCTACCATACATGTAATCCTTCCCCTGCTAGCAAGATCCCATACCAGGGTGGTGCATATATTACAGTCGGTGAATTTGCTGTTAAAAAAACTAAGGTTTCGGAAGCTGAGATATCTCAGCGCGTAAAGGCAATTGCTGTAAAACTTGACAACTCTAGTCGGATTCCTGGAGTCCACAAGGTGGAAGGAGAGAACTGACTTGGGCTTGTCAGATGATCTCTCCGCATGTGACATAGCAGAGATACCCAATAAATAAATAAATAAATAAATACCCTCTAAAAAAGTTAAAAGCCTAACAAGAGGTGCTGGCATAATTGGATATCAACATGTAGAAGAATGAAAATAAACCCGTATCTATTACCATGCACAAAACTCAAGACCAAACGGATCAAAGACCTCAACATAAAGCCAGCCACACTGCACCTTATAGAAGAGAAAGTGAAAAATACACTTGAATGCATTGGCACAAGGAACCACTTCCTAAATAGAACCCCAGCAACACAGACACTGAGACAAACAATTAATAAATGGGACCTCCTGAAACTAAAAAGCTTCTGTAAAGCAGAGGACATGGTCAACAAGACAAAACGGCAACGAAGAATGGGAAAGATCTTCACTAACCCCACATCAGACAGAGGTCTGATCTCCAAAATATACAAAGAACTCAAGAAATTGGTCACCAAAAGAACACATAACCCAATAAAAAAAAATGGAGTACAGACCTAAACAGAGAACTCTCAACAGAGGAATCTAAAATGGCTGAAAGACACTTAAGGAAATGTTCGACATCCTTAGTCATCAGAGAAATGCAAATCAAAACAACTCTGAGATTTCATCTTACACCTGTAAGAAGGCCAAGATCAAAAACACTGATGACAACTTGTGGTGGAGAGATTGTGGGGTAAAGGGAACACTCCTGCATTGCTGGTGGGAATGCAAGCTGGTACAACCCCTTTGGATGTCAGTGTGGCAATTTCTCAGAAAATTAGGAAACAACCTTCCTCAAGAACCAGCAATACCACTTTTGGGTATATATCCAAAGGATGCTCAATCGTTCCACAAGGACATGTGATCAACTATGTTCATAGAAGCATTGTTTGTCATAGCCAGAACCTGGAAACAACCTAAATGCCCCTCGACCAAAGAATGGGTGAGGAAAATGTGGTACATTTACACAAAAATGCAGAAAAAAATGACATCTTGAATTTTGCAGGAAAATGGATGGATCTAGAAAACATTATTTTGAGTGAGGTAACCCAGATCCAGAAAGACAATTACCACATGTACTCACTCATAGGTGGTTTTTAAACATAAAGCAAAGAAAACCAGCCTACAAACCACAATCCCAGAGAATTTAGACAACAATGAGGACCCTAAGAGAGACATACATGGCTCTAATCTACATGGGAAGTAGAAAGTAGAAAAGGACAAGATTTCCTGAGTAAATTGGGAGCATGGGAACCTTGGGGGAGAGTTGAAGGAGGGAGAGGAGAGGCAGGGAGCAGAGCAGAGAAAAATGTAGAGCTCAATAAAAGTCAATAAAAAAGGGAAAAAAGTAACACTAAAAATGTATTCTATTAGCTCTTAATCCAGATGGTTTAAATAAATATAGATACATTTGGGGAAATCCAAAAAAAAAAAAAAGTTAAAAGCCAAGACCTTCCAAAATTTCAGTAAGTTGAGCTTAATAATCTAGTTAGTTTCGTTAGCAATTCATCAAGTGTTAGCAATTCATGGACGGGCAGTATCCTGTTCATAAGATACAAAGACATAAGTTGCACATGGGCAAATGGGTTTCTATGTGGTGGCTTAATACTAGCTGAACATGGAATAACAGTGGCCAGCAAGATAAGGCCCCTATGCCAAACCCAGTGACCTGAGACCTACACAGTGGAAGGGGAGATCTGACTCCTGTGAGTTGTTCTCTGATTACCACGTGTGTTGGGGCATGTGCCTCATCCCGTGAGTAAATAAATTAAAAATAAAAGTATTATCTCTGAGCCTTAAAAGGTGATATAAAATTATTATGATTCTGCAGAATTTTTATATACCTGTCATCTGCGCAGTTTCAAAGGTAAAAAGATAAATAGGGCAGTAGTGGTGCCTGCCTTTAGTCCCAGCACTCAGGAGTCAGAGGCAGCCAGATCTCTGTGAGTTCGAGGCCAGCCTGGTCTACAGAGCGAGTTCCAAGACAGGCTCCAAAGCTACAGAGAACCCGTCTTGAAAAACCAAAAACCAAACAACAACAACAAAAATGGGCATAGATAGCTTTTTACAAGTAATTCATAATGACAGTAAAAATGGTAAATACTATGGTATAACTTATGTATATGGTATA